TCTTTTTTTTTTAAGCTTTCTCTCCCAAAAAGAAATCATTTTTTCTTGACCCCTAAGATTCACATTAAGGTTTTAATTTTCATTTTTATTTATAGTGGGATCACCCCAAACTGCCTGAAATTTTCATTCAAACAATACAACATTCTTGATAAATTTTCTATAAATACTTTCATGATAATTGTTCTGATGAGCTTTCTCCGGTGGTATGAAATTATAAATATTTGGTGGGGGGCATTTTTAAATGATCTTATTTTTATTGCTAACTCCCCATCCCACACCCGGACAAATTGTACGTATGGGAACTAGTTAGGACTTCTTAGAGACTTTGAAGTATTATGGTGGGTGTAGTAAGAATGGTAAGTAAGAATGTATTGTTTTGGTGTAAGGAATACAGAGGTATGTTTGGGTCAGTAAACAGTGGTTAACTAAGTTTAAGACAAGACAGATAGAGGGCTAGCCTCCCCTTATCCCCTTTTTCAGCCTTGGGCCACATTTTTGTATTTTTCAAAATAAATATTACTTTCCGCTATGTTACCTAAACTGTATGAATTTAAGTGCAGTACTAGATTGGCAGCAAGGTCTCATTTTACATTTGAAATGGTAAGATGTAACCATAAGTTCTATGCTAACTGTTTCTTCTATCACAATTCTTGCTTGTGGAACTCTCTTCGGGCTTCTTCCTGGTCAACTTTGATTTACAATAATTTAAACGCAATGTACACTGTTATCTTCTGCCTCCTTAACTCCCGTTATGTTATTGTTCCCTCTCCTAAGAGAATATGAGAAAAAAAAAAAACAAACACTAACACTCAGTAACCCTTTGCATCTTAGTGACTTTATTACCTTGTTTGGGGTGAAATTATTAAAAAGTAATAAAAAAATATTTTTTTCATTTCCTTAGAAGTCAGTGTGGGGAAAATTAATATTTACAATTAATTTTTTTAAAATTTATTTTACAATGATGATCACACTGTACAAAGCCTAAGAGCCACTCAAGGTAGAGGGTTACAGAGTAAGAGGCACTCAAGGTAGAGGGTTACAGAGTAAGAGGCACTACTTATAGGCTTAAGGAATTACTCTGTATTAATCAATACTTTCCAGTCTATTTTTAATGTTTGTGTGGTTCATTTCTTTGGCTGAATCAAAGTATATAACTTTTGCACACTACCCAATCCAAGAACTGAAACCCTAACCCTACCAGAGTACTAGATATGGTTTAACTAATGGTTTAATCCACGAGGCAATGTGCCTTTTAGATAATCTGGACGTGAAATTTTGGAGCCTAGAGTGGAGGGGAGAAGAGATGGTGGCATTTTTCATTATGAATCAGAAACTTCTGGGGCTACTGACCAAGTATGGCAGACGCATGAAGAAGGCTGAAGAGTAGAACAGCTGAAATATTGTGAGTAACTAAGATGCGTCTGAAGGTAAATTTAATTATAATTCCTAATCTAAAAAATCAAGACAAATTAAATAATGCCTCCACATTAGTATTACTAAATATTTTTAAAAGAATGCAAGAATGTGTGTGTGTGTGTGTGTGTGTTAAAAATATTCATTATTTTTTTTCTAAGCAAGATAGTTTCTTATAAAATAGTAAGGGAAAATATCTCCTTATAATGAAGTGAGTTGTAATAGAGGAGATAAAAAAAAAAAAAATGAACTGATTCAGTTAATCCTAAAACAAGATTGCACAGGTTGGAAATGAGGAGAAATATCAAAGAATTTGTCATGGAGTACAGATGAAGTCTATATGCCAAACCAAAGCTGAACATCAACTTTTAGGCTACCAAGGGTGGGGTGGGGATAATGTTACCTCAGAGTAGGAGAGCAAAAACTTCAGAAAGATTAAAAATAACTTACATGAGATTTTTTTTTTTTTTTTGTTAAAAAGACAAGAATTTCTGCCAATGTAGGTACACTTACAAGTGCAAAGGTACCTCTTATCCTCTTGGTGAAATTAGTTTGATGTTAGCAACTGAGAATACTCTTATTGTGAAGTTTCCTTCCACTGCAAATAGCTCTTCCTTTTTTTTTTTTTTTTTTTTTAACAGGATGGAGTTGCTTACCCCATTCCCAACTGGTTCTAAGTCTAGATTGTGAACCAAGGCTGAAGAACCCAATGTGCTGTACTATCAAACCCATAAAGAGTATTTGTTTGAAAATGAATATAATAAACTCAACTGAAGTTCAAAATTGTCTCATTAACCATTACATATCCTGTACATATACTTATTAATCATGAAGAACACTGAAACAAAGTTTCCAGTCCGAGGCAAGGGAAAGGAAGAAAAAGAAAAAAATAAAGACTGCAACTGACCAATCAAATTTTACAGACTATTAATTTATTTATTCAAAGTATTGTCCTACATCTTTGTTGTTGTTGGTCGTTGTGCTCTCCAACCTTCCTATATATATATATATATATATATATATATATATATATATATATATATGGGAAACCTAAAGGAATTCTGAACTGAACCCTTTATTTAATCCTTGGAGGCAGACAATTCTTGTTCTACTGCCCATGTCTTGGTATAATGTCTTACTTTTAGTATTCCTTGTCCATTTCCACCGAGTCTAAGTACACAATGCCCAACCCAGGAATTGAACTTAGAATAACTGTGACACCAAATTCATGAACCAACCCTTTACTCCAATAGGCCATTGTTAATTCACTCCAAAAACAAAAGTTTATCAAAGTACTAAAGACTGAAGAATCACTAAGGAAATAGTATACAACTTTTTTTTTTTTTTATAATAGTCAATCAATAAATTACTATTAATGCTAAATATAGTCATGTAAACTTTTTTTTAAACAAGGTTTTATAGAAATAAGACATTTACAAGGTGCAACTGAACTCATTTGGGAAGGGTGACATGAAGGGTGACATGAAGGGTGAAAAGTTGACTGCCCCAACTCCAGATAACAAAGGTTGCTACCCATGGAGACAGTTTTTAAATGTCCCTTCTGTTAGCTCACCTCCAATGATTTTAAATATTTCAAAGCCCCCTACCACCACACACAAAAATAAATAAATAAATAGAATGCAGGTAGCCAACATTTTTTTTAATCTGACCTCAACCTTGCCACCCTGCTTGCTCTATTGATTAGAAGCTTAATGGGTATATCCAAATTAGTGGGTTAATTTCCATTAATAAAAGCATGTCAGCAGCAAGGTCAGCTTCTTGGCATGCCACAAGGTCATCTCAAAGAATGTAGCTCAAGGACTAATAGGTTAAAAATAATCTGGAAGAAAGAAGAGAAAGATGAAAGGAAAAAAAAGGCAGAGAGAAGAAGAGAAAGGAAAAAGGCAGAGAGAAGAAGAGAAAGAAAAAAGGCAGAGAGAAGAAGAGAAAGAAAAAAGGCAGAGAGAAGAAGAGAAAGAAAGAAGGCAGAGAGAAGAAGAGAAAGAAAAAAGGCAGAGAGAAGAAGAGAAAGAAAAAAGGCAGAGAGAAGAAGAGAAAGAAAAAGGAAAAAAGGCAGAGGAGAGGAGGAAGACGAAGGAGAAAAGGCAAACGAGGGGAGAAAGACAAAAAAGTCGCAGTAGTGAAGAGGAAAAAGCTCATCAGGACAATTACCACAAAAATATTTACAGAAAAGGCACAGAAAATTATCTCACAACAGTGGAAAATAAGTGAAGCTGAGATGCAATATCAGGACCAATAACACTGCAGATTATTTTCATAGAATTACTATGAATTCTTGAGAAAGTGTGTCTGTGTTTTCAAATTTAAAAAAAAAAAAATTAGTCATGTAAATCTGAACATAGGAACATAATAAAGAGGTCTCCTGAACTATGCATTTAGTTTGAAGACAAAGTATATTTAAATGTTAGTTTTTATTTTAAGTAATTTATGAAGAATCCGCTTTTTTGAGAGTGAAAGAGAGAGTGAGCGAAAGAGAAAGAGAGACTGATAATGACTCATTTAAATCCCTTGAGAAAGGTAAAAGGGAAAGGATTATCCACTCTTATACATGGAAAATATGTACTTCGTGTTTTTCTAGCTTTTTAAAAAATAAAATTTTTTTTTTTTTTAAATATAAAATAATTAAATTACTCTTAGGTTAACCCAGAGCAGGCTAGCTTGCACCGGTTGAGAAACACTGCCCTAGATAATTAATGCAAAAGTGAACTAAGCAGGTAATTTGCCAATTCCACATGTTTCCCCCCCTTAGATTCACTCAAAGAGTGAACCAGGTCAAACATAGTAGGCGCAAAAAAAAAAAAAAAAAAAAAAAAAAAAAAATTTTTTAATTATTTCAACAAAGAAAATGTATCCTATAATTCATTATAAAGAGGAGGGGAAGTTTAAAAAAAAAAAAAAAAAAAGAAATTGTCTAAAAAGATTTTAATGCAGAACTTATACAGAATCACAGACATGAATATAATGGACAAGCCGACTACATGACCGTAGTCCTGGGTATGATAATATACTACATCCAGCAGTAAAGCCTCTGATTGGGAGATTGGAGGATTTGAGGAGCATGGAACCACATCTTAATTGCTGTTGCTCCAAGGTCTACCCTGATCTAGGGTTGTAGCACTTGTTAGGGTCTCAGCTATGGGCAAATAATGACCCCCACCTAAAAAAAAAAAAACATGGAAATGTGTTTTTTTGTTTAAAAAAAATAAAAGCTACAAAAAAGATGTTTAATTTATAAAAGGCCTTTTAAACCTTAGGCATTTGGTTTGGGGGGGGGCGTACGTAATTAAAAGGTTTGGTATGATTTGTTTTACAGCATATGAAATTTAATATTTTTCTAAAAACCTTGTATTCAAACAGCTTTTAATTATGTTTATAGTTTTTTTGTTTTTGTTTTTTTTTTTTTATTTAATTATTTTTTTGAAATTAGTTTAATTTTTTTCAGAAACTGGAACAGTTTATTGTTGGGCAGAAGTTCCATACATTCTGCCCCACTCTTTTCTATTGATTGTTGCTTTCAGGTCAGAACATGGGATTTTGTTATCTATGGTGTCTGATATGTTCCTTAATTAAAAGGAATAGAAGAAAAAGAGGAAAAACAGGTCAAATATATGAGAGAGAGAGAGAGAGAGAGAAAGGCAAGGAAGAAGAAACAGGAAAAAGAAAGAGAGGCAAGGAAGAAAAGGCAGAGGAGAGGAGAAAGACAAAAAGGAGGAAAAGGCAGAGGAGAGGAGAAAGACAAAAAGGAGGAAAAGGGAGGAGAGGAGAAAGACAAAAAGGAGGAAAAGGCAGAGGAGAGGAGAAAAAAGAAAAAGGAGGAAAAGGCAGAGGAGAGGAGAAAGACAAAAAAGGAGGAAAAGGCAGAGAGAGGAGAAAGACAAAAAGGAGGAAAAGGCAGAGGAGAGGAGAAAGACAAAAAGGAGGAAAAGGCAGAGGAGAGGAGAAAGACAAAAAGGAGGAAAAGGCAGAGGAGAGGAGAAAGACAAAAAGGAGGAAAAGGCAGAGGAGAGGAGAAAGACAAAAAGGAGGAAAAGGCAGAGGAGAGAAAATGGGGAAGAGGAGACAGAGGCAAGGAAGAACAAACAGGAGGAGGAATGGAGAGAGATATCAGGAATAGCAAAAATAGGATTTAAATTCCATAGTTTGAAGAAATTCTGAGATAACAGTGGGAGGGAGCATAAAAGAGAGTGATAATAAAAAGAACTAAAGGAGGGGGAGGAAAACGCAGGAGGTGAAAAACAAACAAATACACACACACCTAGGGAGAGGAGCTGGGATGGGGAGGGGTAATCCTAAAGGGTAAATCCCACCTTTTCCTACTACCATTCAATCAGGAACCAAATCTTTAATTCTTTCAGACAGTCAAATGGTGAAAGGAACTTGTAGACATGCTGGAGACAACAAGCTGACCATTTTCCAGAACAAAGATGGGAGCAGCCAGGCTGTCTCAAGTTGAGCAGTGAAGCAAATAACTCACACCTCTCTCCACATCACTCTCAGGTACAATCAGCCACTGAACCATAACCCTTTAGATCACCCAACCCCCTAGAGGCTGGTAGGTCAGAACCAATATGGACTACATCTCTAACAAAGAATCATAAGGAGGAAGAGGAGGAAGACTACAACAACAAACACACACAAATATAATATGAATAAAATATTATAAAACTGATGGGTGTGACGTTTTAGTCAGTCCATTACAATGACACTCTTGTTCAAATTTAAAGCAATATTTTATAGATATTTTATATCAAATAAAATCATTATTAAAAAAAAAAAAAAAAAAAAAAACACACACTGTGAAAGATAGATTTTAGTTTAGAGACTTTGTTTTACAAAGGTTCTGAAACTGGTTTAAGTAAGTTTTAATTTTAACTTTTTAAATGTCAAAATAAGATAAGATTCAAATTATCCTATTTTTGTGAAAAATAATCTAATCTTCGTTCATCAACAGGAAAAATCTTTAGAAAACAAAACACAATACAAATTGTATGCAAACATTCACAATACAAAGAGAACGAAGTTTAACAGAAAAAGAGAATTAATAACATTTAATAGAAACACTCGTGAAAATTTCATAGTCTTGTTATTTGAATTTTCTGATGAATTATAATTCAGCAATGTTTACCCTCCTTGTAGTACCCCCCACCGCAGTGTCTTAAATTATGGTTATTCCCTTGACACCACTATTACTAGATACACTTTTGACACCCTCCACAATTTTTATTGCTCAAGATTATAAAAATGCAAACCAAGTGCAATGCGATATTTATTATTTACCATTTTATAAAGAGAAATTTGAAAAAAAATGTTTTTATTCAAAAATTTATAAAAAAAAAAAAAAAAAAAAAAAAATTTACAAAATTATCAAAATATATAAACCAAATACAATGCAACATTTATTTACCATTTTGTAAATAAGTATAGAAGAAATATTAAATGAACATAAGAAACATAAATTAAAAGAATGTTTGGTTCAGAGGAACAGATGCTCGCAATCTATTTTAGTGAATTTAATATGGTGCGTACAAAGAGCAGAAAGAAATGTCCAAAAAAATGCATTTTTTTTTTAAATTTATAATTAGTTACATGTCATGTTTTTATTTAAATTTTATTTTCAGACATTTTTATAAATTTATGAATAAAAAAAAAAAATCATATTTATGACTTTATTAAATGGCAAATAATAAATATTCCATTATCATTGGTTCACATATTTTTATAATCATGTAAATATGAAATTCTTGTAAATAAGTAATTTAATAAATATTGTTTAATATCTTTGCTGCTAATTCTCAAGAATAAAGAAAATGTACAAATCCACTTTCATATGTTTTGGTTTTATTAAAATTTTAATCATCACTTTTTAAAACAAGTCATTGCTGAGGGAGTCAAAAGTGTATGCAATAATAGTGGTGTCAAGGGAATAACAGTCCTTTGACACAGTTTTCTTGCTGCCTGAAAGAAAACTGTGTCTCAAAGGACTGTTTGAAGGTTAAACGTTGCCTATAATTCTGATCAAAATGGAATAGTCCATTATTTATGGTATTAGCAGAGTGTAATGGTCGTGCTAATGAACAAGCAGAGTTATAAGATGATGGTTGCTGAAAATAATACAAGACCTTGAGCTGAATGTTGAGAAACCTAAACTAGGTCGAATTAAAAAAAAATTGGGATTTTCTACAGAAATTGTTGGCAAATAGTAGTAAATTAGTACTGACAGGTTAAAATTGATATTTCTGGAGGTAATACAGGTATAACTGGATTTTGCCTGAACAAAGTCTGCAACAGCTGTGCAATCAATCTGAAAATAGTATTTTTATTTTTAGAGGTGGGGAGGGAGGTAGTCTTTTGCTTTGGGGGGGGGGGGTTCTTCAGGTCTTTTTTTTCTTCCCCAGTTACTGTTTTGTGTGATTTGTTTGCCTTGCTAACTGCCCGACAGTAGTTTCTTGGTAGAAACTTATAATAATATGATTCCAGGCCATAAGTTTTTATTATTATATTCAAAGTTAAATAAATTACAATCTATTACAGGTACTGTCACCTCATTATATATACAAAGTTTGGGGGCAACAACATTTCTAGAAATAGTCACAATGGAACAATAGCAAAAAATATTTCTGTCTATATTTCTGAGATCAGGTATTATGTACACTATTTACATTATTAGGACTATTGTCCTCATCTTCGTCGCCATATTTATTAAGTTCCGGCTGTTGTACGCTCTGGCCTTCTTCAAGTGGTTGGAATGTCAAACTGAACCCTTTATTTCGCTCACTGGGGTAGACTAAAACATAGCACATGGAACTAGAACAGTCTACTCCAGTACAAAAAATATTTATCTATCACTGTACTACAGGACCAAACTTTTTTTTTTTTTTGAAGTTGTTTCAATAAGTAATACCCAGATTTCAAGTAATGTCTATAATGAAATATTAGGATATTTGGTCTAGGTAGAAAAAAAAAAAAAAAAAAAAACATTTTAACTTCTGTCTACAAAATTTTATAATCATTCAGTACATCCACCCACTCCAAAAATATATGGAGTTATGGAGAATATTTACAACTTTCAAACTCCATTTTTGATATTGTATATTTCAGAAGAGGAGTAGCGAGACCAAAGAAATATGACAAATATGTTAGTCAATCTATGTTACAAATGCCTGCTCAGGTATTTGTGTTTGTTCAACATCCACAGAGCCACCTCTACTCAGTTTATTATGCAACTATACTAAACAGACCTCAGTTACAGTTTCTGGGAGAGAGTAGGCTTGGGTCAACTCATAGGATGTTTTTTTTCATTCACTTTCCAAAGGCTAACAACATCAAGAAGTAACCTTCCTGACAAACTGAGCATTGTGAGATTCAAACCCTGGATTCAGGGCCAGATAGCAAATTTTCTACCCATTTAGCCATGCACTGACATACTATACAGGGTGTGATGAGTAAATTGTCACCATTTTATATTTTTTAATTTTGTGCATACATGTTTGTTTTTAATTTTGTTGACTGATAGTACAATAGGGTCAGTTGGGCACCATCTGTAAGAAAATAACACCATTCACTCCTTCAGAAATTTGGAAGGACCGCATGATGTACTGTTTGGCACTTGTAACAGAAGTTCCAATACAAACATTTCAGGGTGTTTGAGCATTAATCTGAGGAGGGTATAGAGTATTTCGAAAGAGTTGGAGGCATCTAACTGATTATAAAAGTACAGCAGCTTGGAAAACTCACTCTGATCTGCAACCAATCTGAAAATAGTATTTTTTTTTTTTGAGGTGGGGAGGGAGGTAGTCTTGCTGGGGGGCTTCAGGTCTTTTTTTTTTTTTTTTTTTTTAACCCAGTTACTGTTTTGTGTGATTTGTTTGCCTTGCTAACTGCCCGACAGTGAAGAATGTATCTTGGTAGAAATTTATAATAATATGATTCCAGGCCATAAGTTTTTATTATTATATTCAAAGCTAAATAAATTACAATCTATTACAGGTACTGTCACCTCATTATATATACAAAATTTGGGGGCAACAACATTTCTAGAAATAGTCACAATGGGACACTAGCAAAAAATATTTCTGAGATAGGTAAAGAACTCCCGAATTTGTTGGTGAGAGCCTAAGACTAAACACAGAGGCCTACATCAAGTGCCTTGGGGAGGTTGTCAAGAGGGTGGCTGCCAGGAGATCCTATGACTAGCAACAAGATACTGCAATATGCCACACAAGCAGGAGAACCCAGTCATAGCTGTTAGACAATTTCTGTGACCCCATCACCCGTTACATCTGGCCACCTAACTCCCCCTCGATTATTATTTGTCGGGTGAAGTTGAGCAAGAGACCAACAAAACTCCTTGTAACACCAAAGATGAACTGAAGGCAAGGATTATGGCAGCTGTTCAGAAGAATTGCTGGAGATTCCGAAGTCATCTGGAGGTTGTGGTCGAAGTCAATGGTGATTTTATTGAATAAATTTACTCTTTAGTTGTCAAAGATATTTTTGTGTAATTTTGGTAAATATATCTGTCAAAATGAGATGTCAGAGTTATTTTCATTTTTGCATAATTTAGATGACAATTTATACATCACGAAACGTGTGTGTGATAGGATAAGGAACAAATAGGAAATGTTTATAGATTTAACATGTTTAGTGTTTACTTAAACATCATCAGAAAATGAAATATGGACAAGAAAAGAAAATTCTGGTAGTTTTTATTCTTGTTTTTCATTGGTTACATCCCCCTCACAGGTATTTATCGTGTCTAGTAGCATTCACATGTATAATTCATGTGTTTGTGCATCATAATTCTAGCTGGTCTATACAAGATTTGGTTGATGTGCATGCATGTACGCATCTATTGGGCATTTTTATTTCTGCTTGATTGGAGGTTGTTTTGAGTTGGAGTGAAAGAATTTAGTTTACACCAGTTGTGGATGGAGGTAGACAGATTCTTTTAAGTATGGATTTTATAAAAGTTGGTGATATAATAAAGTGTGTTTGGCATGTGTTTATTGATGGGAAAATATTTATCAGGATTCCTTCTAAGTATTTTCTATGTAATAAATTATGTTTTTTTCTGGTTAGGGAGGCATTTATTACATCAACCAAATCTAATATAGACCAACTTTTGTTTTTATTTTTTTTTTAAAATAACAAATGTCAATTGTTCCAATGTTTATATCTTTTACTTAGCAGGCAGTTATCTAAAAAGACCCTGCCCTAAAGTTATCACATTATGTGAACCCCTTCCTATACATTTGTATGTTATCATTGTACTGTGTACATCTGTTTACAAAAATTTAAAAAAAAATAAATAAATAAAACACTTG